CTTTAGTGTCCATGCGGCCCGGTCCTCGACCAGGTCTCCACCCCCAGGAAGCAGCCCGTGACAGCTGACTAACACCCAGGTACCTATTTTACTGCTAGGTAACAGGGGCATAAGGTGAAAGAAACTCTGCCCATTGTTTCTCGCCGGCGCCTGGGATCGAACCCAGGACCACAGGATCACAAGTCCAGTGTGCTGTCAGCCAGCTCGGCCGACCGGCTCTCTGTTTATTTTGAAATTGTTAATTAGCATTCAGGAAGCTTGAGAATCCACGTAAAAAGTCTCCACCTCTTATAGTTTAGCAGTAGTGGCCTGGGGAAGATGAGTTTTTTGGTAAAAATTGGGTGAGGTGCTGCATGGGAATAACTTTGTTGATTTATTTTCATGGTGTCTCACTTTATTTAGTTTTTCATGCTATCAGGTTGTATTGAAGTGTCAAAAATGGTGTTCATTATGTAAAACTTAGAAAATGTAAGAATGTACTTATATACGAGTATAAATACAGTGCATCCTCACTTTAACGAACCCTGCTCTTATGAATTCCTGGATGGTCCAAATAAATGGCATTCTGAACTAAATGTTCAGTAGAACATACAAATGTTCGATTAAGCGAGGATTGTTCATTCAAGCAGTCGCCAAGACCAAGCGTCGAAGGTGGCTGTCATCAACTACGATTCACCAAAATGTAAACAGTTGTACTGTATAGTGTTTTATTTTACTTCCCCAAGCAAATGTTTTGCTGGGGGGGGGGGGACAAGCAGCATAGTTATTTTGGTGTCGAAGTGGTGGAATTGTTTCCATGGAGAAGGGGGTTGAAGGATGATAAAATTCATGTCAGGGAAGCAGGTGGTGTCAATAGTGGAAGTTGTTGTCATGGGAGGCAGATGGTGTCAGTGGTGGAAGTTGTCAGGGGAGGCAGGTGGTGTCAGTGGTGGAAGTTGTCAGGGGAGGCAGGTGGTGTCAGTGGTGGAAGTTGTCATTGAAGGCAGGTGGTGTCTGTGATGGAAATTGTCAGGGAAAGCAGGTAGTGTTAATGGTGTCAGAAGAGGCATGTGGTGTCAGTTATGAGGGTAAGTAGGTATTGATAGTGGTGTCACGGAAGGCAGGTGGTGTCAATGGTGAAGTTGTCAGGAGAGGCAGATTGCGATTGTGGTGAGCATCAGGGAAGGCAGGTGGTGAGAGTACAGTGACGCGTCCACCACAAGGTTGGGCTGGTCTGGGGGATCAGCTGACTGGCAACACGTGTCTGGCGCCACTGCTGCTGCTGCCTCAATGCTTCACTCACTGTCTGCTTTTCACCAACTTAACTGAGAAAATTTTACCATTTCAGTTGTTGACATCATCACACGTACACATCACTCTTATCATATTCTGTAGTCAAAATGAAGTATTCATGTACAGCGTGGCCTCCATTTACGATGGTAATCCTTTCCCAGAGATGTATCGTAAGTCGAAACGAATTTTCCCATAAGAAATAATGGGAATTGAATTAATCAATTCCACACTCCCAAAACAATTAACTTTAAAGTAAATTTTATACCTAATTCACCCAAATCTTTAGTACTAAAGTATGTAGAAGTTTATTGCTTACCTTTATGAAAGACGGAGGAGGAGGAGGAGGAGGAGGAGGAGGAGGAGGAGGAGGAGGAGGAGGAGGAGGAGGAGGAGGAGGAGGAGGAGGAGGAGGAGGAGGAGGAGGAGGAGGAGGAGGAGGAGGAGGAGGAGGAGGAGGAGGAGGAGGAGGAGGAGGAGGAGGAGGAGGAGGAGGAGGAGGAGGAGGAGGAGGAGGAGGAGGAGGAGGAGGAGGAGGAGGAGGAGGAGGAGGAGGAGGAGGAGGAGGAGGAGGAGGAGGAGGAGGAGGAGGAGGAGGAGGAGAGGAGGAGGAGGAGGAGGAGGAGGAGGAGGAGGAGGAGGAGGAGGAGGAGGAGGAGGAGGAGGAGGAGGAGGAGGAGGAGGAGGAGGAGGAGGAGGAGGAGGAGGAGGAGGAGGAGGAGGAGGAGGAGGAGGAGGAGGAGGAGGAGGAGGAGGAGGAGGAGGAGGAGGAGGAGGAGGAGGAGGAGGAGGAGGAGGAGGAGGAGGAGGAGGAGGAGGAGGAGGAGGAGGAGGAGGAGGAGGAGGAGGAGGAGGAGGAGGAGGAGGAGGAGGAGGAGGAGGAGGAGGAGGAGGAGGAGGAGGAGGAGGAGGAGGAGGAGGAGGAGGAGGAGGAGGAGGAGGAGGAGGAGGAGGAGGAGGAGGAGGAGGAGGAGGAGGAGGAGGAGGAGGAGGAGGAGGAGGAGGAGGAGGAGGAGGAGGAGGAGGAGGAGGAGGAGGAGGAGGAGGAGGAGGAGGAGGAGGAGGAGGAGGAGGAGGAGGAGGAGGAGGAGGAGGAGGAGGAGGAGGAGGAGGAGGAGGAGGAGGAGGAGGAGGAGGAGGAGGAGGAGGAGGAGGAGGAGGAGGAGGAGGAGGAGGAGGAGGAGGAGGAGGAGGGGGAGGAGAGGAGGGGAGGGGAGGGGAGGGGAGGGGAGGAGGGAGGGGGGGGGGGGGGGGGGAGGGGGGGGGGGAGGTGAGGGGAGGTGAGGTGTTAGTGTTTGGAAGGAGAGTCCCCCTTCCATTATAACATCAGGAAGTGATTGTTTTTCTTTTTTCAAATTTTTTAAATTTTTTATTTTTTATTTTTTTTTTATTTTATTTTATAGAAAATGGAGCAGCCTACTTGACATCCACTGAATGAACCTTTTAGACATTTTTTGTCTTTTCAATTTTGTTTATTTTTTTTTTGTTTCATTTTATTTTTTTTTTTATATTTTATAGAAAATGTGGCAGCCTACGTGACATTCACTGAACAAATCTTTTTAGACACTTTCTTTTTTAAAATTTTTTGAATACAGTGGAACCTCGATTAACGAATTTAGTCTGTTCCGGCACCTAGCTCGTCATGTGAAACACTCGTCTTTCAAAACGAATTTCCCCGTTTAAAATAATGGAAATAAAATTAATCCATTCTACCACTGAAAAACATCAATATGATATTGAATTTTTTTAATATTGGAGCAGCCTACCTGACAGGTGAACAAACCTTTATAACATTTTTCTTCAAATTTGTTCAATTTTATTTTTTCATTTCTTTTTAAGAAAATGGAGCAGCCTACTTGACATACACTGAACAAACCTTTATGACATTTTGTCTTTTCTCTGATTTATACATTTTTTTTATTTTTCATTTTTTATAGAAAAAGGTTCAGTGTATGTAAGGTAGCCTGCTCCAATTTTGTATAAAAAAAGAAGAAGAAAAAATAGAACAAATTTGAAAAAAGGAGAAATGTCATAAAGGATCATTTAGTGTTTGTCAGGTAGGATGCTCCATTATGACATTTTTTCTTGTTTTCAAATTTGTTCAATTTGTTTTGTATTTGTCATATTTTTTATTAATTATGGAGGTGCTTACCTGACAATAACTGAACGAACCTTTATGACATTTTTTTTCAAATTCTTTCATTTTTTGTTTCTAATTTTGTCTAAAAAACAAAAATTGATGTTCTGCAACATTACAGCAGTCACCCCTTTACATCCCAGCATCATTAGCATCTTTAAAACAAAAAACAAAAAAAAAAAAGATTTGGTTAATAACTTTTTTAAAAGTTATTTAAAAAAAGTAAGTTAAACATAAGCTTAAAACAAAAAAAGTTATTTGCATCGTCGGAGGTGTCAGAGAATTTGCGAGAACCAACGGTAACGCTAGGAAGCACCATGTGCTTTTCTTGTTAATCATACGAAAGCTCGTCAATCGAGACAAATTTTCGCCGAGTGGCGCGCTCGTTATTCGAAATGCTCGTAGACGAGGTGCTTGTCACTCGAGGTTCCACTGTACTGTATTTGAAGTGATGCATCACAGTGTTATTAACACTTTGGCGTTCCCCTGCGTGCCACCCCTCAACTGTGCGATTTGGGTCCCAGAGTTTCATGGGAGCGCTGGTTAATTCTGAAAAGTGTATACTCTCTTCAACTTTGTCACCTTAACACTTTCGCGCACCCCGCGCGCCACCCCTCAACTATACGATTTGGGTCCCAGCGTTTCACGGGAGCGCGCGTTAATTCTGAAAAGTGTATACTCTCTTCAACTTTGTCACCTCAATTCTCGTTCTACGAGATTAAATTTGGTATCATTGTGTTCGCAATAGAATTCTCTACAGCACTAAATGCATATAAACTCCAAAAGCCCGGCTAATTACCCACAGCAAACAGAGAAAGTGTGAACGAGTTACCCAGGAGCGCGCAAACGCGATAAAATGTTTTCACTATTTTCACTCTGGTCACCTCAATTTTCGTCCTAGGTCTTTCATTTTGGTCTCAATGGGTTCGCAATAGAATTCTCTAGAGGAACATTAGCATATAAAATAAAAAACCTGGTCACGCTCCAACCGCCGACGAGTTGAAGACGGGCCATGCATTAGCCGTGAGTGAGCACTCAGACGTCTTCCAGCTACACTCCCAATTCCCATCTACAAATGTTTAGTATTATTTCCTGGTGGTAATCTCAATTTTCGTGTTACAGCGCTCATTTAGGTATGAAAATGTTCCTAATAGAATTCTTTAGATGGATATGTGCATATAAGGGCCAATTGAAGAACAACATTGCCTGTACAATACGGGAAAGTATGAAAAAAAAAATAAAAAATAATAACAAATTTTGTACTTACCACCTCAGTGTTGTGTGTGGAACATGACATGGGTTGAACATTTGTTTTATCCGCTCCACCTGCTCCTGGAAAATGTTTCTTGCAGGGTCAACCCATGTTTTGTATAGGTGGAGTGGATGGTGGGCAAGCATTACTGCTTATCGGCCCAGAATTTTTTCTTTTGATGGTATTTGCTGTAGCATGGTGCAGGACACAATGCCACATCACACGTCTTGCACTTATAGTGTGTGTCCTTCCTTTTACCCGACAATTTGCACACACGACACCTCAGACGCTTCTGTATCTTTACTTGGGTATGGGACAAGTTTCTTTTGAGGTGATCTGGATTATCCACAATACGGGGTCTTGTTGCAGCAGAAGCACCACTAGTGATAATCACAGCCTCGTCTTCTGACTCAGACGATGAAGGTAAGTCTGCAGGTACAGGTGAAGTGAATAGTGGGCGCCTCACACCTGAAGGTCCTGCTGTTGGAGCTCTGGGTGTTGATGGTCCTAGTGTTGCAACATTGGCTCCAGTGGCATTGACATCAGCAGCATGTGGGATGTCATCATCTTCCTCAGGCCAGTTACTAGACTTATACAACAATAGTGCAGCGATGACTTGTTCATGGAAATGGAGTAATGTCAGTTTCATTCTATCTGTTGTGTAGTAGTTGTACATCACAAAAGCATTGTAGATAGCCATTTGGACAAAATAAAAGGTCATTTTCTTCATCCATTTGTGTGTTTTCCTTGTGAAGTGATAATATTTGATCATTTGGTCAAAGTGATCAACACCTTTCATGTTTGTATTGTAGTCACAGATTGCATTCGGCTTGTTGACAGTTACCTGCTGCACTGAGGTTGTTCCATCATGATTCTGTACTCGTTTTCTGCGTTGAACCTCTTGTGTTTCTGCATTGTGGCAATTTGTTATGAGTGAAACAATTCATTTATCTTTCCACAAAATTATGAAAGTATTGTCCTTGCGTTTGAATAAAGTTTTATCTACTGGCACTTTACCCTTTGCTTGCATCTGAAGGGATTTAGGTGCACCACGCTGCAGTCTGAGGGTACCACAGGTGTATACCCCTACTTGAAGCAGTGCCTCACTCAATCTGACCGAATTGTAATAGTTGTCCATATATAAATGGTAACCTTTATCCTTCAGTGGTTCAATCAAGGCCATAACTGTGTCAATCGTCGTTTTCCCAACTCCTGAATAAATTTCAAAATCATAAATGTAGCCACTGGTGGCTTCAGCTAGCATGTAGAGCTTTATTCCATATTTATCTGGTTTATTGGGATTATAGGTCTTGAAAGATAGACGGCCACGTCATGGCATTGTCCCTTCATCCAAACTCAAATTTTTATTGGGAATGTATATTCTCTTGAATCTATTCAGGAGATATTGCATGAGTGAGCGAACTTTGATAAGTTTGTCAACTCCTTGGCCTGGTGGTATGGACTTATTGTTATAAACATGGAAATATTTAGCAATCATCTCAAATCGCTTACCAGTCATAAAGGTGTTGACACAAGGTATGTGCCAGAATCTGCCTGTTTGCCAATACATTCCAAGTCTTGGCAATGGGCAAATACCCATCAAGATCGTCAGTCCCAAATATCTGGCAATTTCTTTCACTGTCACTGGTTGCCATCTGTGCTTTGTCCTTTGCCCAGTACCTGCCTTACTTTGGGAAGCATATAAATTAGTTTCATAGGCAATATATTTCAGCAATTTTTGAGTCAGAAAGAGTTGAATGAAACCAAGAACAGTGGTAGGTACAGGAACAGTCAAGCCTGGTGTACCTGTAAAATTGTCCACAAAGGGTGCAGTATTGTCACTACACCATCCATCATCAGAATCTGTTGGTGCTGGGGTATGTGTGGTACGTCTGTCTCTGGCACGAGCTCCAGTACCGCGCCGTGCACGAGTGGCAGTCTCGACTTCAGACTCCTCACTTTCCTCACTTTCATCACTAGCAAAATCCTCATCGGCCGTCTCTGTTTCTAAATGTTCACTACTTGCATCTATAACAATACCGACATCAGTTTCCTCACTAGATGACCCAGACAAATCGTCAAATACAGACTGAAACTTAGAGGGAGTAGTCTCACATGCTTGTACTTCTCCTGTACACTACTCAGCTTCTGCTTTTCATGCCTTTCTTTCGCAATTTTCTTCCTGGAAGGGCCTTGTTCATGATCACTATCCATCGTGGAGTAAGCGTAGATAGTTTCTAAAGCTGCAGTAAGAAATATAGCCACGGAAAATAGCCGAAATGTTCATACGTTAGAAAAACAGCATGTTAAGGATTTGGGAATAATGATGTCCGACGATCTAACGTTTAGGGAGCATAACCAAGCAAATATCGCGTCAGCCAGAAAAATGATCGGATGGATTACGAGAACTTTCAAATCCAGGGATCCCATCACAATGGTTGTACTCTTCAAGTCACTTGTGTTGTCCCGTCTCGAGTACTGCTCAGTACTCACTTCCCCCTTCAGAGCAGGAGAGATTGCTGAAATAGAGGGAATACAGAGAACATATACGGCACGCATAGACGAGATAAAACACCTAAATTATTGGGATCGTCTCAAAGCTCTCCAAATGTACTCTCTAGAAAGGAGACGAGAGATACCAAATAATATACACATGGAAAATACTGGAGGGTCAGGTCCCAAATCTACACAGTAAAATAACAACGTACTGGAGTGAACGATATGGAAGAAAATGCAAGATTGAACCAGTGAAGAGCAGAGGTGCCATAGGCACAATCAGAGAGCACTGTATAAACATCAGAGGTCCGCGGTTGTTCAACATCCTCCCAGCGACTATAAGAAATATTGCCGGAACAACCGTGGACATCTTCAAGAGAAAACTGGACGGTTTTCTAAGAAAAGTTCCGGATCAGCCGGGCTGTGGTGGGTACGTGGTCCTGCGGGCCGCTCCAAGCAACAGCCTGGTGGACCAAACTCTCACAAGTCGAGCCTGGCCTCGGGCCGGGCTTGGGGAGTAGAAGAACTCCCAGAACCCCATCAACCAGGTATCAACCAGGTATCACGTTTGAGACGCGAGGGAAGGCGACACCGGTCACAACAGTGGAGCGAAAACAATGGGCCGACGGCGTGTGCCACGCCGCTTGCGGGCCACAAGGCGCAACAAAGAAAATGGGAAGACATCGGCGCGCATTTTAAAACCAGTCCCCAAAAAATCGGATAAAAACCTGATTTTTGGCGATTATTTAAAGTGGATGACGCAAGCATTGCGTCATGCCCGGCATTACCGACAGTAAACGGATGACGCAATGCTGCGTCATGCCCGGGCAAAAGTGTTAACACTATCGCGCACCGGGCAGGCGTGTGGTCAACTTAGGGGTCATGCACCGAGCGTGCAGGCGAGCGTGCGGGTAAGTGCGCGGTGACACCTAAATGTGTATACTCGTTTCAGCTTTCTCACCTTAATTCTCGTACTATGTCGCTCGTTTTGGTTTCATTGTGTTTGCAATTAAATTCCCTACAGGTGTGTATAAATATAATGTCCAAAAGCCTGGCGTGACTCCCAACAGCAAAGCCTAAAGTCGGCAAAAGTTACCCATGAGTGCACAAAATCAGTAACATGTGCATACTCGTTCCATTTTTCTCACCTTAATTCTCGTGCTACGTCGCTCGTTTTGGTATCATTGTGTTCACAATTAAATTCCCTACAGATGTGTATGAATATAATGTACAAAAGCCTGGAGTGCCTCCCCGCAGAAAAGCCTAAAGTTACCCGTGAACGAGCACCAATTTGTACACTGCAACCTCATGTGTATACTAGTTCAATTTGATAACATCAAATTTCGTGTTACATCTTTCATTTTGGTATCAAATTGTTCGAAAAAAAAAGGCGCGCATTTTAAAACTAGTCCCATAATAATAGAGCAATAACTGGAATTTTAACAAATATTTTAATTCTGGACGCTCATCATCACAAAATTATTTATATCTTTCCAGTATTCTGACATAAATTTTTGTGTTACATCTTTCATTTTGGTATCAAATTGTTCGCAACGTAAAGGCGCGCATTTTAAAACTAGTCCCAAGATAATAATAAATAGAATTTTAACAAATATTTTAATATTTTGACCAAAAGCCTATTTAAAATCTTTCAAGTGTTTGGACATCAAGTTTCATGTTATATCTTTCATTTTGGTATCAAATTGTGCGCAATCTAAAGGAGCTTATTTTGATACTATCCCGAGGTCGATTGGATAAAAAATGAATTTTATACAAATATTTTTTGTAGTGGACGCAAGTCCGGTCCAAAGTTAGGACTCGGGAGAAAAATAATGGACGCGAGTCCGGTCCAAAGTTACCGATAGTGTTAAATTTATATCGTAACTTCAAATTATCATAAGTCAGGGCAATCGTAAGTCAAGGTGTCACTGTATTCATAATAAATGGTGATGTCACTGGTGAGTGGTTTGTACAGTATTAGGAAGGAGGTTATGGCAGCTATCCTCTACCCATCAATATTTGTACTTATTAATACTGTACTTGTATGCACATTACTTTGTACAGTATATCTTTATTCATATTAATAAACTTTTTTATTTAACCCTTAAATGGCGCCTGGCTATTTAGCATGTGTCACCCACAGGCGCATACCAAAAAAAAAAAAAAAAAAAAAAAAAAATCTAAACCTGTTAATTTGTGTTCACTGATCATGGGAAAAATAATACAAAAATCATAAGTGGCATATATTGCCCGCTATAGGGCGGGGAAGTCTGGCAAATTATAGGCGCTGACTCAGCGTGAGTCCCAGACGGTCTGTTGCTCGCCAGCTGTCAGGCCAGAGTTGCCACAAAGAGATAATTACCTAATTTTTTCAATGTCTCTGATTGATTTTTCGTAGTTTTTTTGCTGTAATATTATTCAATAGTGTGTAGTGTGATATATTTATATAATAAAATGAGTGAATCATCGCTGTACTAAAAAATATGGTGTGCATATTGTTGATTCAATTATGTTCATCAAACAGTGAACAAATACTTTGTCGGTTATTACGCGTTAAGCACAGGTTATATATAAGTATCTGCATGTTTTGTTCACCATAACGAACCACAAGTTGCTATTATGAGTCAAAAAGTAACGAGGAGTGACCGCCACACACTAGCCAGCCACTCACTCCCTCAACACCTCACTTGCCGACATTCTCCTCCCACCATACTGTTTTTGCTTTTATTCATTATATACAGACGTTATATATAAGTATCTACATTCGTGTTCACCATAACGAACCACTAAGTTGGCATGCTGAGTGGCAGTGGCGGGCCGCCACTGGCTGATACTTCCTCCCTCAAGTCACCTGACTCACCCACATTCTCCTCCCACAATACTGTTTTTGCTTTTATTCACTATATACAGACGCTGTATATAAGTATCTACATTCGTGTTCACCATAACGAACCACTAAGTTGGTATGCTGAGTGACAGTGGCAGTGGCAGCCAGTGGCAGCCCGCCACTGGCTGCCACTCCCTCCCTCCCTCACCTCACCTGACTTGCCACCATTCTCCTCCCACCACACTGTTTTTACTTTTATATACAGACGTTATATATAAGTATTTACATGTTTTGTTCACCATAACTGTACATCTAAGCTTGTATGGTGAGTAAAGGCACAATGACGTAGCTACTCACACAGTCAGCTGGTGGTGGCCGCCCTCAAGGCCAGACACACTAATATTTCTCCTCCAACAATACTGTTTGTGGTGTTATTACGCTATATACACACATTATATATAAGTATCTACCTATTTTATTCACCATACTTGTACAAGTAAACTGGTATGGTGCCCAAAGACCATAGTGGTTACCAGTAAACAACATGATAAGTCGTGCAGACGATGCACCTCCCTCGCCAAAATGGCGGGTCCTAACCTATTCGTATTGCTGTTTATACCCTCTATACACACGTTATATATAAGTATGTACATTTGTGTTCACCATAGCGAACCACTAAGCTGGTATAGTGAGTGCAGTCAATGAAAAGTGGCCACACAGTCAGAAGATGACGCCACCACCCTCCTTCCCACAGCATTACTCCTCCCTCTATGGAGCATAGCGCTAAATATCACCACAATCCTGCTATTATCAGAACCCTGGTCAGTTTTATCACAGGGGGCTTCTGTAATAATATCATTGCTAAATAATAGCAAGAACATGTATATTTTAGCATTTTTAGGCAATGCCGTGGTCACAAGCAGAACAGCAGTGCTGTGAGCTCATGCTGCGTGCGTCAGGCTTGGTTATTCACTCAATACTGAGGCCCCTCACACCCAGGAATTTGGCCTACGATTTTTTTTTAAATGGCGTCTGTTTACAAGAGCCCTGATGAAGGTGTGGTGAGCCCCGTGTACCGCGGGCCGTTTAAATCTTGCACAGTACTCCAAAACATCATATGATGCCGAGCGCAATTTACTGCAAGTCACTCAACGCATCATATGATGTCTTGCACAACAAAAGGGTTAATTTTATTATTTGCTGGATGTATCTGAGTACTGTATATAGTACATTGTTTCATATCAACAATTACATACTCATTGTAGATATGAAACAATCTATTCCATGATACTGAAAGCCTGCAGCGAGGTTAGGGATGTGTGGGTCAAACTAGCAGTGTATGCCTGGCCTGGTCTGGTCTGGCCTATTTTTTTTCATAGTGGTTGAGTAACTGTGACAGACAGGATCTGCTCTCTCTAAATCCATGTTGTCCTGGGTTGTGTAGCTCATTATTTTCCATAAAACTAGAAATTTGATTCCTAATCACTTTCAAAAAGTGAAAAGTTCATCTATGCCGTATATGTTCTTTGTATCCCCCTCTATTTCAGCAGTCTCTCCTGCTCTGAAGGGGAAAGTGAGTACTGAGCAGTACTCAAGACGGGACGGTACAAGTGATTTGTAGGGGCACCTCGGTTTACGAATTTAATCCGTTTCTGGAGACGGTTCGTAACCCGAAAATTTGTAAACCGAAGCGAATTTCCCCATAAGAAATAATGGGAAATGAATTAATCCATTCCTGACTCTCAAAAAAATTCACTTCAAAGTAAATTTTATACCTAATTCACCCAAATCTTCACTACAAAAGTATGTACAAGTTATTACTTACCTTTACTGATGACTCTTGTTGGTGAATGGAAGACAGTGAGGAGGGGTGGGAGGAGGAGAGGTGTTACTGTTTGGAAGAGGAGTCCTCTTCCATTATAACATCAGGCAGCGATGACTTCTCTGGGGAACACACTGGCATGTTTTGCCTGCATACCACTAGGACCTGCTTCTGGCTCACTGCATGATTTTCTCATTTTTTTCCTTGAAGATTGTTTTTCCCTTCCTTGTAACACTTGTCTGTAGTGAGACATCACATTTTCATTAATAAGATCAATGCAACAGCCTGCTAAAGCTTTATCTGGGTGATTCTTAACAGCATAACTTTGCAGTTCTTCCTATACTGCACACATTTTCTTAATAAGGAAGGGACATTCCCTTCTGCCGCCGCCTCCTCCTCTCCTGAAGATTTGTTATACTGTCTAGCTAGTTCAGCAACACATGTACCATTTTCATGTTTACGAATGATCTCTTGTTTTTTCTCTATGGTCATTCTCACATGTGTTTTCTTGCCATGAACCTTACCCCTGGCTTTCTTGGGGCCCATGGCAAGATATATAATAACAACTTTTATGTTCAAATAGCCAAAAATCCAAAAAGAGTACTGTAAATCCTTGCAAAGAATTCAGCCGGGGTAGTCACTAGGCAGGAGGCACTAGGAAACTGAGGCGCGATCGCCGTGCCACCACGCGCTAGGTCGGCCATACGCGTATCAACAAACTCGTATCCCGAGGTAAAGTTCGTAACCAGATTCAAATTTTCCAAAGAAATCGGGCTTGTAACCTGAAAAGTTTGTAAAGAGGGGCATTCGTAAACCGAGGTACCACTGTATAATACAACCATTGTGATAGGATCCCCGGATTTGAAAGTTCTTGTAATCCTTCCAATCATTTTTCTGGCTGACGCAATATTTGCTTGGTTATGCTCGCTAAACATTAGGTCGTTAGATATCATTATTCCCAAATCCTTTGCATGCCGTTTTTCTACTATGGGCACATTTGATGTGTTTTGTACCCAGTATTATGTTTAAGGTCTCATTTTTAACGTACCTGAGTACCTGGAACTTATCACTGTTAACCCTTA